AGGAGAGGGGAACAATCACCTCCCTGTCCCTGCTGGCCACCCCTCTTTTGATGGAGCCCAGGATACCATTTTCTGAGCCAGCACACTGCTGGCTCATGTTAAGCTTTTCATCTATCAAGACCCCATGTTCTTCTCCACAGGGCTGCTCTCAAGGACCGCTCCTTCCAGTCTGTATGGATGCCTGGAATTCCTCTGGCCCAAGTGGAAAACTCTGCACTTTGCTGTGTTGAACCTCATCAGGTTCACCCAGGCCACCTTTCTAGCCTGTTGAAGTCCCTCTGAATGGCATCCCTTCCTTCTACCGTGTCGACCGCACCACTCAGCTTGGTGTCATCAACAAACTTGCTGAGGGTGCACTCGATTCTGTCATCGATGTCATTGATAAAGATGTTAAAGAGCACCGGACCCAAGATAGACCCCTGGGTGATGCCGCTCGTTACCGGCCTCCAGCTGGACATGGAGCCATTGATGACCACCCTCTGTCTGCAGCCTTTCAACCAGTTTCTTATCCATCAAGTGGTCCATCCATCAAATCCACATCTCTGCAATTTGGAGATAAGGAAGTGGTGGGGGACCATGTTGAAGGCCTTGCTCAAGTCCAGGTAAATGACATCAGTCACCTTCCCCTTGTCCACCGATGCCGTCACTCCATCATAAAAGGCCACCAGATTAGTTAAGCATGACTTTCCCCTGGTAAAGCTGTGCTGGCTGTCTCGGATCACACACCCTTTCCTCATGTGCTCAAGCATGTTGTCCAGGAGGATCTGTTCCATGATCTTCCCAGGCACAGAGGTGAGACTAACCAGCCTGTAGTTCCCCTGGTCCTCCTTGTTCCTTGTCCCTTTCTTCAGAGAGAGATAGGTGCTGGGTCCATGCACGGTGCCTCAGCAGCAGTAGGATGAGGCCCAGGCCCTTGTCCCTGCCACTGTTGCAGAGGGCTCCAGAAGCAGCCTGCAGCCAACTGAGGACACCACTATGAAATACCATGCCAAAGCCCTTTAGGTGATGGGCAGAAAAAGCATAGGAGTGGACAGTAGGCTATTTGTGTTGTGTCTTCTGCATCCTGCTCTGAACACTCACCCACTTCATGCAATACCAGTGCTATGTATCTCCAGGGTATCACCTTGAGCCTCTTCAGGCTGAACAATCCCAGTTCCTTCAGCTGCACCTCAAAGGACTTATGCTCCAGATCCTTCACAGCTTCACTGCCCTTCTCTGGACATGCTCCAAGGCTTTAGAGTCTTTCTTGCAGTGAGGGGCTCAAAATTGAACACAGCACTGGAAGTGCAGCCTCAGCAGTACTAAGTACAGGGGAATTATCACCTGCCTGGTCCTGCTATTTCTGATACAAGCCAAGATGCCATTGGCCTTCTTGGCACCTCAGCACCGTGCTGACTCATGTTCAGCTAGTTGTCAACTAGCACCCCCAAACACCAAAATAGGACCATTTTGTTCAGTGTCCTCCATAAAGGAGAATTGTGATGAAGTACTCACACCTACATCTTGTCACGTTCAATGCCATATCCCTCTTCTGAGAGGCTATCTGAAACCATAGAGACAGAACTAGCCAGTGGTTATCATCAAATCATTTAATTGAAGGTACACTTTGTATGTAACTTCAAGTGTTGGACATCCAACTTTTTAACTAATGCTGATTTAGAAGCACATATGTAAGAACTATAAAGCAAAGTTGCTCAACTCCTATGTATGCTGAACTACTGCATCTTAGAGCTGAACAAGAGAGCTTGATGTAGGTTAGCAAGTGGAATTATAATAATTTGAAAATATCACCCAAAAAATCCCGTTTAGTTATTTTTCGTAACAGTTCTCTGCACTGAAGTTATGTTGTCTCAATAATTGAAATAATATATTTACTCATCCATACAAGAACATCTGTATTTAAAATGAATAAGTTTTAGGAATTCACTCAATTCGACATGCCCTTATATCTTGTTTTTTTTAAAAAAACAATTGCTTATATCGCCTTGGATTTTTATCTAGCGCTTACAAAGTGAGACAAGACAATTGCTCAGAGGAATTAAATGTTAGATACTATCATCTGCCAGGTAGAATGGCATTATGAATGCTAGCACATGAAACAAAGCTTGTCCAGCTGACAGCTTGCAAGGCAGATCTGGCCTCCAGGACAATTTTCCACTATCATAAAATTATACATCTCATTTGACAACCAGCCCTAGTGTAAGTGGGATTACTGTAATTTGCTCCCAGCTGCCAGGAACCTGCATTAGATTTACAACTTGTTTATTTTTTCTAATTATGGAGGCTGTGGCATACCCCTGCTCCCATAAATCCTTATATAATACCCATGTTCAACCCAAGGACATAAAAGTAAGTAAAGAGCTGGATATAAAACTCCATGAGTTACAGAAAAAAAAATGCACGCACAGTACTTTGAGGAAGCAACTGAAACAGTTAGGTTGTCCCATGCCAACTGTAGCTGAAAGGCAGCAAATGGGTGGAGGCACTTTACAGCATAACGCTGACACACCAATCCAGCAGCCTGGGAGAGTTTGCAGACTCATTTTCAGTTCTTGCTGAAGCTGTGTCTCCTGTTCATCATTTAGAATTTCATTTGAACGTAACGTTACTGGACAGACATACCTGAAGGCTCACTCATATACACAGCTTTTCATTCCATTTTACCATTTCAGAACACAAGTACGTGAGAGAATAAGATGAAACATACAGTGTTTTCATCCTACTGAAAGATCTTCAGCTTTTCACTCTTGCATTTTACTGTTGCCATTAGTGGGGTGAACCTCTGTTCAACAGCATTCACTCAAAAATACATGCTAAGTGAATTCCTGTCCTCCAACTTTCCTTGAAATAGTTTGTATCTACTAAGCACAGGGTGTGACATGAGCATCAGTCTTGTTACAGCATGTCCTTGGCATACCAACCACCAATTTAATACTTTGTTTAATTTAAATATAGTTTTAAAAACATTTGCATGATTGCACATGCAAGTGTGCAGAATAAGTGGATTTCTTTTGGCACAGCAAGTTTTGTTGCCCAACTTTGTGTGCCCAACTGATACCAGTAGCCCTGGGAGAGCTTTTGGAGGGACAATAGCAGAGACTGCTTGCTTACATAACTCTTACAAGATAAAAACCTTAAAGTGGAGCAAATATTTTGCCTTTCCAAGTGCAGAACCTTGAAATGACTATTAGTCTCCTACAGACATTAGCAAGGAGTCAAAATCAAACTGTTCTTTTTCCAAAACTGTGCGACTCAGCAGCAGTGTCCTGTTTAATGATGCAGATTTCTGTGATTCAGTGCCTCTTTGAGGTTTTGTTTCCTGGTCTTTGTTAATCTATTTTGTAATACACATACTTCAATACGCATTAAAAATACCACTTCCAACATCAGTGTGCTTGATCGTATTTTATTTTATCAAAATAAGTTACAAGGTCCCAAATTACTTTCCCTTTTAATGGACAGATTCCATGGGCACACTTTTACTTTGCCTTGCCATTTCACAGCTTTATATGAGTGAATACTGTACCCGTACATTTTTTTTTCCTGTATTTCTTTTAAATAAGACAATAAAAATGCAGTTACTGCAGAACAGAAATACCTGCTGTACTCCTGGCAGTACAGACCAAAGCAGGTACAGGTGGCTTTATTGTTACAAAATGAATGTACATGAAGATCCTCAGGGTCACTGTACTTTCAAGACTATTGTCTTCCTGAAGTCTTCTTGACACTTGCCAATAATAACAGCCAACTGCTCTTCTGTAAGCTGCGCAACAAAATAAAGCTTGCTGAACACAATAAAAAGAATTGCTTATGAAAGATTATTTTGAAGGTGAGTAGAACGCTGCCTCAGACAACCTGCTGTCTGTCTTGATAGGCTTGCAGCTTCTGAGACACTTCATCTAGTGGTCAGATGTTAAGGGTAATATAATAAATAGCTACCAGGTTTGGTTTATTTATAATCTTTCTCATTACTATATTTCACACAGATACACTGCTTTTTAAGTGAGCTTAATAGGTGCTTGAACTACAGATTTCAAGATGTTTTAGAGAGCTGTTAAGATCTAGTAACTTAGCAAATTTTCTGTACAGCCCCATTTTCTTATAAGGAGTTGGAGCAAGTGACATTCAGATCTGAGGAGCAGCAGATGATAACCTCCAGTTTTTCCAGTTTGTTCAGAGAGGATGAAAAGGATACAGATGCCCAGCAAAGAAAGCAAGCATCGGTTATTTGCAATGAAGTGTATTCCCAACTTGAAACCACCACCATCTTGTTTCATATCGGTGCTTTTGAAATAAATACTCTATTACTACAGAGATTACAGTATAGGCTTACTTATCTCGGCACTCAGTTTTAACTGCTTACATTCCTGGAATGATATATCTAGGTTACTTCAAAAATAATGCCTCCTATTTATTTCCATGGATACAACTGGTACAAACAGCACAGTAACACCATTTGATAGGGCAGACTCTCAGCTAAAAATTTTTTTATAAATTTCTATTTTTCAGTGTAGTCACCACCACTAGCTATGCATTTTTGCCAGCTCTGAACAAAAGTCTGCATGCCAAGCTCACAAAAATCCACACCAGCATAAGTAACCCACTGTCACTTTCACCACTGCTGAAATGCACCACTGTGCTCACATCCACTGTTTGGACTCCTGAAACATTCAGCAAGTGTTGATAAATGTTACTGGGTGCCATTTTTTGAATATGGAGGAACTCAATGACAGATCTTTGCCACGTATGCACTTCCATGTCAGTGCCATTTTGTCAGACTGCCCCTCTGCTGCCATCTGTTACACGGCAACAAAATACAATATTGTGAAGGTTGAATCTTTACAGTCATCCCACCAATGTCTGCCTCTGATGTCATGGGCCGACATCATAAGATAGGAAGCATTACTTTTGGAGCAGCCCTCATATTTTAATCTAAGGAAAATCAGATTATTCTCTTCACCTTTCCAAAGCAGATGAACTGAGTTCTAGGGACCCTAAAAGAAGAAGGATTTACACTTAAACCTATAAAAATAACACTGAATTTATTTAAGAGCTGGGAAAGTCTTGTGTCCTTGATAGTAGACTTCATTTATCTGTACAAATGTCAATATAGAAAACTTAATAGCATCCTGCTTTGATTAATCCAAAGTATCCCCCTCTTCTTTGATTCTGAATCCCTAGTTATCAGGATGACAACCACAGGCCTAGCCCTCCCCTGCATTAATTCCTATTTGAACAAGAGCACCATTCACAGAAAAACAAGCATGCAGTCTCAGAAGTTTCCAGTGCTGCAAACATACCACAACCTTTGGTAAACTGTCACTGCCATCAACCACTCTCACTTTTAAAAATTGTGCCTTCTGCTGAATCACAGCTTGTCCAACTTCTCGTCAGTAGTTCTTGTCATTCCATCTGAGGACATTTATTCCAGCATTCAGTTTTGCTACCACACCACAGAATTCACCACTTTCATTTTTCCTCCCACGTGTCTGTGAAATGTCTCATCTGGGAGCCAGACACCTTTCTCCTCTCTGCTGCAATGCAGTGAATGGAGCCAGCAAACCTTGCAGCCTGGGTGCTCGCCCTGCCTCACAGCCCTCCCACTCTGTCCACTAGATCCTCCATACCTCCCAGCAGTTGAGTACTAACAAGCTAGTAGTTTTTGTCTTGTTTTTTTTTATATATAAAAGAGTTCGTATGCCAGCTTGGAAGCCACAGCTGATCAGACTGCAGCCATGCTGCCCCTGAAGGGCCTTCAGAAATGTTGGGACATACACAAGCTACTAATAGAAAAGCTCTAACGTGAGCATTTGCTGTCAGTCTCACCTTGAAGAATTACAAATAGAGCAACTTTTGATGTCCAACATAATGAATATAGTCCAGGTGATGGGGGGGTGTGCATTTTATCTGTACCTTGTTAGGAAAACCCTTCAAGGAAATGTGAAAACATAATAGTATTTGCTACACCCATGATTTTACTCCCTAACATTTGTACAGTCAAGAAAATGCTTTTGTTTGTGAGGTGTGTAACCCCCAGCTTCCACCAAAAGAGCTATCTTTAAAAGAGCAATAAAGAGCTGAACACATAAGAAAAAGGATATGTTTTGTGGACAGAGCTTCAAGGCGTGAGGTGACTGAATCCTGCAGTGCAGCTATGGCTTCACACTTACAGGCCTCTTCATTTGTTACAAGACTGCTTGTTGTGGCTCCTAAGAGAGAAAACAGCATTTAAAATACTGATGAAAATATTTATAAGCCAGGAAAAGGCACAAAGAGTTGAAGCCAGACTGTGAGTCTGCAGCCCAGGGCAAGGGGGAGGGAAAGGCAATGTAGATGGAGGTCATCTTGTAGCTAGAGGCACACATGTCCCATCTCCAGGAGCAAGGCAAGCAAGAGAGAGCTCAACTCTGACTGAGAAGGAGGCGTGCCTACCCAGATCCTCTTAAGCTCTGCAAAGCAGACCATTATTGAGTAAAACATAAATAGAGGCCCTACCCTGGGGGCAAGGACCAACCAGCCTCCTCCCATCAACTATAGTCATTAGACTAGTTCTCCCTCTCATCCAGAATATCCCCTGCCCCAAAAGTTAGGACACACTGGGAAGTGGGATGAGGATGCTCAAGTGCTACAGCCTAAAAACCTGCAGTTCAGATTCCATCTTGTAAGAAGCACTTTGACCATCCATGCAGGAGGGCTACTAGAATCACATTCTATTAGCTCAGCTATATTGTAGGCTATGACTAGCTTTTTGGGTTTTGCTTCAGAACCTGGGTTGCTACCTGTCAAACCTGGAACACAATGCCATTTGGGGTGTCTGTGAACATACAGGTATAGGAATTTCATAGAATATATAGAATATTATAGAATGCATAAATGGCCAAAGTTAATCCTCCAGGGAGTTTTGCAGCCAAGCAGAAAGGCAGCTAGTGATTTTGAGTACATAAAGAATTATCAGTGTCAGACATCAATTGGCTTGGATCGGTTTATAAGATATGGATGGAATTTAGATAGCTAAGTATCTAGCGTGATACAGAATTAAAATAATTCATTTTGCCACTTTGTAAATAATACAAAATATGAGTTCAATAATGTTAAATAGTAAGCAGTAGAGGTTCAGCTAAGCCATCATCATGTTTCACTCCACAAATACACTTTTAACACTGGCAGTACGCATGCATAGGGAGCATCACCCTTCATTTCTCAAGAGATGTGAACATCAGTCCACTCAATGTCACATAAATATATATGAAGGGAAGAACAATATCCCAATCAGTCCAAATGAATTTAAAATCCAGTAGGAAAGCTCAGCACCATTGATGCAGGAACCAGTTAATATGGAGGAGAGGTAATCGGCCTCTTAGGAAAGACAAAGCAAACACTGCCATATTTTGCAGTGATTCGATTTAATCTGTTTCAAGGTCTTGCCCTCAAACTTACTGAGGACCAAGGCCTCAGCTGTCCTTAAGAATTCTTTTTTTAACATAATGTACCACAAAACATGGGTGTTCACAAACAAAAGGCTCAGATATATGATAATTTGTCCTGAAGGACAGATTCCCAGGGTGTTTTGCTGACTAACTCCCAGAAGAGCTGGAAATTGACTTCCCTAAAATTAAGCTTCCTGATTTTACTTCTTTGTATGTCTGATATTCCTTAAGTGTGCATTCCATCATGCATGATCACTACAGCCCAGGCAGCCTCCAATCCTGATGTCACCAATCACGATGAGAGCCTGCAATTGTGATTCCTCCAGTATCTGCAGGAAGAAGCCTTAATCAACAGGCTCTGCTCGATCAGACAGCCTGTAGTAGACCCCAACCACAAGGCTCCCTTTGTTGCCTTGGTCTCTGACGCTCACCCCCAGGCTTTCAGCTTGCTCATGGCCATTCTTCACATTCCATTCCTTCCTTGATGTAGAGGGCATGCCTCCTCCCTTCCTCTCCTGCCAGTCCTTTCTGAACAGCTTGTAGCCATCAACAGCCACATTCCAGTTGTGGGAATCATCCCACCAGGTTTCAGTAATGGCAACTACATTGTGTTTTTCCAATGGTACAGGGACTTCAAACTCCTCCTGTTTATTTCCCAAGCTGCATGCATTGGTGTAGAGGCAGTTCAGTTGGGCAGCAGGCCTTGTTGCCTTTTTGGTGGATAATTCCTTAATTCCTTTCAAGTATTTACCTTTAGTCTCCCTGTTGCCTTCATTGCCATAAGATGCAGCAGGTTGAGGGCTCCTGCTAGAACCTTGTCCCTTAGCTAGTCAATCCTGCACATTGTTGAGGGCAGACTCGCTATCACCCAATTCCTGCTTCAAACAAACCTCTCAGCAATGTATTTATCAGATGGCTTTTCCTGGAGCTCTCAAAATCCCTCCCTGTCACCAAAGGGATAGAGGAAAACACCACCTGTACTCCTACACCATCCGCTAACCACCCCAGTTCCCTGAAATCTCTCAGGCTTCTCTCAGTGACGTCATCAATGCCAGCCTGAACTCTCAGTAAGGGATAGATATTATTTTATAACATTTATAACATTTTAACATGTAGAACAAAGTTCTGCTTTGTTCTTTTCAATTCTCTCCCCCATTCCAGCAGGAAGGGGGGAAAGTGAGTGAACAGCAGTTTGGGTGCTCAGCCACCTGCCACATTAAACCACAACAGCTTGCAAAGGCACTGACAGTAGATTATTCAAATGATTCTTTTTTTTTTTCTCCAGATGTATAAGTGCAAAGCTAATCAATGCTAAACAAATGATTTAGCAATAGAACAATAGAAATATTGTACCTGGATGCAATTTCTCTTCTTTCTTAAATTATTTTGGTTTCTGTTTTTACCATGCCACTGATATTTCCATTTTGCAAGGAAACTGATGGCTGCTTGAATTACAGAAAATGACTGAAATACTGATTTTCAAAAGTTTGTTCTTTCAGTGTTTAATTGAAAAAAAAATTTGTAAACTGATTCATTTCCAACAGTGCAGAAAATCATTTGTCTTAGAGCCAGTGTTGAAACTGGTTTCTCCTTGATTCCACTGAACACGTATTTGTTCAGCTCCCATTTTTTTGGAAGCTCCTGCCAGCCTTATAGCCAGTGTACAAAGAAGAGTTGTTCAAAATTTGGCTGGAGGAAGGCCAGTTCAAAATATCACACCAGCATGGTTGGTTTCCCATTGACTGCCAGTGAAGTTTGTGTGTTTGCATTTGAATTCTCCAGTGGCAAATACAGATCCTCTTTGGATTATGTGTTTTAACCAAATTACTTTTCCAAATGACAACAGTCCAAGAGTATCCTGAATTTCTCTGCAGAGCTTCTGTGAAGTTCAGAGTCTTCCAGCATTTGATATTCAAAATCCTGTGCAATTCTACTGCTCATGGGATGCCCAACAAATCATACAAAGCATGCTAGGGTGGTGTTCTTACACTGTACTTACGTTTTAAGTCCAGACCTACAAAAAACAACTGTTTTTGCAGGTAGTGTTTGGCTATATCTACCTCTTTTAGACTTTGCTCTTACATAGGTCTTCCTATGTAAGGTCTTCCTATTCCACTTCATGCAATGTCTAATTATTCGTGCTCTGAGCAGCTGTAGATCAGACAAGGTACCACTTCAGGTCCCTTCCAGTCCAACTTATGATTCCACATCAAATTCTGCAGAGGCCCTGCAAACAGGGTTTGCTGACTACAAAGTGATAAAGAAGGATGCAGTGTCAGGCTATGAGCGCTGCCAGGCATGAAGCACTTTATATATCCAAATGCTGAAAGAGGAGAGGGCAGAGTGACATAGAGCTGTCTTATAGCACTTCAGTGATTAGGTGGGGAGAGCATGGAGGGACAGAAGACAGCAATCTGGCCTTACTTGAGCAAGTCTTCTTGTCTGGATTCAGGACGTAGCCTTGATAGCAGTCACATGTATAGAACAGATCATCTCTCACACAGACCTGCTCACAGTCATGCCTTCCAGGTGCACACATGTCAACAGCTAAGAAAGACATTGGAGAAGAACATTAAAAGATATCCCAGCTTCAGACTGTGTATTTGGCATTAGGAATTTCCTTTTGCCACCATATCCACATTTGGACTCAAACCAGCACGTTTTTATTGCACATCAGCAGGATATTAGCCACAGTAGGGCACACAGAGTGTGTTTTTATCTGTCTGTCAGCATCACAAAGTTAATATGACTTTAGGAACTCCAGCAACACCTTTCTTTAATTGTAACAAATTGCGAAAGGAACTGAACTAGCAGTGATCCAGTTACAAAATAATGATCCACAGGAATTTTGGAGAACAAATATCTGGATTTTAAGAGAGCATCTGGCATTATTTCAGCTCTAATGAGATAAGATGCTGTTTTATGGAGTGAAAAGACCATAATCAAAAGAGTATACAAGGCTGCTCAAAAAAAGAAAGACGTGGCAACCACTGCCAGTTACAAAGTGGGTACTTTATGTGTGAGGAAGATGTCTTCTGCCAAATTTAACACATCAACTCCAAAAGAGCAAGTTGATGAGTTCCTATATTTGGATATCTCAGCAGTAAGGAGGCTCTGTAAGGCAAAAGTAACTGAAGACAGAAAGAAAGAAGGAGAGACAGCAAGAAAACAAGCAAGGGAGCAAGGAAAGAGCCCTTCCTGGATCTATGCTATTTTTATTATATCAGAAAGACTCGGAGAGTTGAGAAATCACAAGCAGCTTGCTGCAAAATGAGACTGAAGAGGGAAAAGAATGAAAAAAGCAAGTACGTTAGACAAATACCCTGAAATTTGAGTCTGCACGGGGATAATCGCTGCTATGAAAGGAGATTCAGGACTGGACTCACAAAATGGATGCCTCTCTACATTCATTTTTCCTTGCGGATGTTTACTGCCTCTTTATAATACCAGTTGAAAGTTAATCTTTAGAATTGTATTTACAAAATCTGTTCCCGAACTACGCAGGAAGAAGTAGTAAGAAGTTTGCTTCTTTGAGATGTGAGAGCTATGAATTAATCAGAGAGATTTCCCTAGGAATTTCCTGGGATTGCAAACACAGATTTGTCACAGCAGCTATGGTAAGGAAAGAGACTATGACAGAAGTAGAAAAAAGAATTTTACATCAATAAATTATCATTGAGACACTTAAGGAAATGAAGAGTGAAGTTTAAACCCTAATGGAGTGAAAATGACACAGAATACATGTTCATCTGTATGTACTATGTATTTCTACATGTCCTTATGCACTACCAAGATCTATGCTCCTATTCTCCGCAAGAGACCAGCACTGAGAAAGACCATTTCTCTCCAGCCCCTGTAGCTTTAAGGCTGGAGTATTTTTTTAAGGTCCAAACACATCCATCAGGAAGAACTACAGGCTCTAGTCTGTCCTGAGCGCAGTCCTTGCTCTTCTTTATCTCATTCCTACAGCTTCATTATGCTGGTTTGCTGAAGAGTTACCTGACAGGTAGTGTGTATCACATATTCCCACCAAATATACCATCTTTCTCTGCTGTCAGGTGGATATAGCAACTCATGCTCCAAAAGTGTGAAAATATTGAGAAGTCCCCAGGGAAATACCAAATGACATCTTAATTACAGCAATTACAAGCCTCCCACAACTGTAGAAGACTCAAAAGTCTCAAATTATTACTGTAAATATGAAGAAAAAAACTGAAGTTGCACTGTGCTCTTAGGAGTTGTACAGCAACTCCTGAATTACTATCAGAAAAATAATGTAAATTAACCTGATTTAGAAGAGTACATGTTGTTAGCTGAACACAGTTTTTCCTTGAACAAGTCTTACCCGAGCAAGTCTTCTTATCTGGATTCAGAGTGAATCCCTCAAAGCAGTCACAGCTGTAGGATCCACCGTTTCTCCGACAGACTTGGGCACAATCATGCCTTCCAGGTGCACACATATCCATGGCTGCCGTGGACCATGTTTTAGAGAAGAAAGCAATTAATGCTTCCCAGACAGACAAGCATCGTAAATACTTGAACATTTATAAATATAACTTCATCAGGATTCAAACAGCTCCCTATCTACCACATTATTTTATTATGCTGCAGATAACTGAATTCAGTTCCTAATTATTTAATGTAGGAGGCAGATATCTGGGCTCCAAGATTGCTGCACCATATTTCACACAATCTGATTTTCACTTGCAATTTTGACTGCCCTGAACAGCCCTATGATGGATGAAACTAAAGCACCATACTGAGATGAGCAATAACCTGCCATGTTGCTGTTAAGAGAGAAAGAGTGATTATTCACTCTGAGGGAGGGAGGCACTTAAAACTTCTGGATCCAAAGGAACAACTCTTCAACTCTTCAACACTTTGAAAGGGTAGATAACAGCAGGACAAGGGAAAATGGTTTTAAGTTGAATAACAGAAGATTTAGGTTGGATATCAGGGGGAAGTTCTTTACTATGAGAGTGGTGAGGTGCTGGAACAGCTGCCCAGAGAGGCTGTGGGTGCCCCGTCCCTGGAGGTGTTCAAGGCCAGGTTGGATGGGGCCCTGGGCAGCCTGGTCTGGTATTAAAAGTGGAGGTTGGTGGCCCTGCATGTGGCAGGGGGGTTGGAGCTTCATGATTCTTGAAGTCCCTTCCAACCCTGGCCATTCTGTGATTCTACGATTCTGTGACAATTACAGAAGAATATTTGGGGAAAAAAGTGCTCCTAATAGGCTAACTTTTCAGGGTGAAAATTCAAGAAATAGGAAAGGAAGAAGCTGGTTTTAGTATAAGACTGGGGTTGCTATACTGTGGAGCACTACATAGCCTATGAACAGCAAGCTTTAAAAAAATTTTAAAAAATTTTAAAAAACCTGAATTTTGACAGGGAGATGGAGGGGTTATGGAAAAATGGACAGGTCCTATACAGAATCATAAAGGTTGGAAGAGACTGCTAAGATCACCATGTCCAACCAACCACCCACCCCCACCATGCTCACTAACCATGGTCCTCATTGCCACATCTCCACACTTCTTGAACACCTCCAGAGATGGTGACCTGCACACCCCCGGGCAGCCTGTGACTGTGCATAACCTCCTTCTTTTGGAGAAGAAATTTTTCCTAATATCCAAGCAGGGGCACTCACTTTGGAGTGGAGACACAATGCTGGTAGACACATCTGATATAGGTTCCTCGTCTCCCAAGAGCAATGTTTAGGAAGTACCATGAAGACCATACAGTGATAGGTAAGTGAATTACTTTTTTTAATTGAGATTTTTAAAGAAAAGTGCAATTCTATTGACTAAGAGAATCTTAGAACTAAGAGGAAGGGCTTCAAGAGTTGACATCTACAAGCAATTTTTCAGCCAGAAACAGTAAAGAAAATATGCTCATATCTTCTTGAATTTCATATACAAATGTAGCCTTTAATTCCTACCTGAGCAAGTCTTCTTATCTGGATTCAGAGTGTAGCCTTCAAAGCATTCACAGACATAGGACCCGTTGTTACTCACACAGATCTGATCGCACTCATGCCTCCCAGGTGCACACACATCCACAGCTGCAAAAAGAACATTTTTTAATAGATTTCTATTTGGAATCATCTCAGAAATGGCAAGAAGAGTACTTTTACCAAAGGAGTAATACCTGAGCAAGTTCTCTTATCCGGATTCAGAGTGTAGCCTTCATAGCAATCACAGAGGTAGGATCCGCCGTTACTCACACAGAGCTGCTCACAATCGTGGGTCCCAAGTGCACACGTATTTGCAGCTACAGAGGGCATTTTCAGAAAAACCATTTCAGTCATCTCAGGGGAAAGAAACACTCATTGACACTTTATGCCTATGAAAGTGTTTCAGGTTTTGTACTCTTTGCTGAATTTGTAGTAAGAGATCTCAGCGCTGCATCACAATCACAACAGTTAGACACATCTTTCAAAACATTTTATAGCCTTTTACAAAGAGGTTGTGGATTAGCTCCCCACAAAGACAGGCTGATCTGCAAGAGGAGTGCCATCGGGAGAGAGAGGTTTTGAGCATTTTGGAACATGGGTTTTGGAACCAAGGGGGAAGGCTACAGGTGAATTCTCACTTCGAGAGTTGACATCTAAAGTAATTTTTTTATTACAAGTAATGATGATAACTCACAGAAAATGCACCCATGTCTCTATGAGCTTCATCTATTAAAGTAGCCTTTACACTGGGCATAGAAACTCAGCAATAAGAAAGACCTTCTGGTTAGCTTGCTAAACTCTGCTTAGTGGCACACAACCTGATTTATGAATTCCTGCTGCTTTCAAAAAAAAACCTCTCATGTAAAATGAAATGTTACAGCACAGTAAAATAAATTAAATTACAACAGAAAGAGCATCAAGAGTAGGAAGAACAGGAAAGTAATTCAGAGGTGCTAGGAGAACAGGCCATCAGGGATAAAAAGTGCCCATGCAATGCTACCCTGTATAGGAAGGCTACTCACTTTAAATGACTTTAAATGATCTTTAAATGGCTGTATGTAGATTAGATGAAGAGGGGAAGAAGAGAAAGAGCAGGAGCAGGAAAAAAAAAAAAAGAGGTGATGGAAAAAAGGGAAAGAAAATAACAAATGAGAATGCTTGAATCGTCTCATCTAATGTGAGTTAAAATTTAATGTGGAAGATTTAGGCGTCCCCTAATAAGGCTGATTTAAAGTGTGCCTCGTCTTTCCCTCGGCAAACACCATCTCAAACTAAGCCAGTGTCTTTTCAGTTATGACCTTGGGAATAAGAGAATCCATCTCAGTGACTTATGAACAAAATCTGTGGATGATATTTTCAAACACAACTGAGAAGCTCAGATTCAAACGGTCAGATTTTTGTGGCAGGAAAGGCAAGTTTCCACTGACCTTGACACCAACTCAAAGAGAAGATTTTCCATCTTCAGGATGGTCTCATGCTGAATGATGCTCTCAGTGCATCAAGGACCTGATCCTGGCCAACTATTTCACCCCTGAACATTAGTTTTCTTGTTTTCAGTTCACCCCACAAACAATCTTGTTTGGCTTGGCCAACGCAAAGGACCTCCTAATTGTCACTGGTGAGTCCAAATTTCAGGCTGTCCAAAAACACAGTGTGTAGTTGGAAAAGACCCAATTTACCCACACTGTCTTATAAGACTGTCTTCAATTCACTTGGCTTATAAGAGCCTTTTGAAAAGTTATTCCCTTTACCCCAGTCTCGTTCATAAATCCTAAAGAGCCCGGCTAACTTCATGCAAGAAACTCAGAGTTACACTGAGAGTATAAACGAGTCAGTTCTCTTTGGTAAATCCTCCAGCTTAGCAGAAGTGTAACTGCTGTGCCTCAGCACAATAAATGGCAATTTTAAGAACAAGAAATTTTTCTTTGGTGCTATGAAAAGCCTCACTTTGGCTAGGACATAGGTGGAAATAGGTGGAAAACTAATGTTATTTTCACAGCACCCATACCTGCCCAGCCAGGGGGGAGCTTGTATCTTCTAGCTGTTAGGGAGAGGATGTGGTCACAGCAGCAACACAGCACAATGTCAAGCCAAACCTCAAGCATTTCCTATATTAATTACTGGGCAAAGTGTTCTGCCTACAGATGGTCCCATGCATTTATTTTATATTTAGAGAAAGAAGTCTATTCACTCTAAATGTATTCAAAATATACGATGGGCATTTTTAATAGGGCTCTGAAGTAATGAAGATGAACACATTCTTGTCAGCCGAGTTCCTAAAGCAATGGCTGCTATGTTAATTCTCTCACATTGCTATTTACACCTGATCTTATCCATTTCTTGTTGGAAACGTATTTTACAAGGCATTTCCTTTTAATTTTACTTGAAAAATCTACTACATGCATGCCTTTTTATTTGACAATTGGGGGGGGAGGAAGGGGGGGCCCGCAAGGCTGTTTTTAAGCACTCCAGATACACCACAGACTTTTGTCAATAGCAGTAGCAGCCCACCCTGACCTAGCATTACTAGTATCTATCCCAAGCCATATATACATCCAGCCCCACATGCTTCTGAAGCATTTCTGTGTCAAAATCAAGAGGGAGAGGAACATGGAGACACGAAATCAGTCCTGTTCCTCACATGGTAAGGTTGCTATTCAAAACCAGAGATCATTTCTTGGCCTCAACTGAATAGAAGGGTTGGTTTGTTTGCCCAACCAATGGCAAAGGAAATATGTAAATGCGATCCATAACACTGCTCAAAAACTTCTTTCTTAGGGAGTGGAACCACAGCAGAAGCCAAAAGGAGCCAAATTACACCACCCTCTTGGCCTGACCACCTTACCACAGAAGGTCTCTCGGAACTTGGCTGTCAGCTTCTCGATCACGCCATAGGTCTCCACATAAAAGACGTGTTCATCCAGCGGCTCGCTGGCCATTATCCTCAGGGACTGCATGTCAGCACGGCCCACCCCCACCGCGTAGATCTCAATGCCAGCCGAGCGGGCGTTTGCTGCCACATTTTCAACCTGGTCTTGTGGCCGTCCATCTGTCACAACAATGACCACCTTGGGGATATTGAAGTTGGCTGGCCGGGTACCCATTTCCTCAGTGAAGACTTCATCCACGGCAGCTTGGATGGCGAGGCCAGTCATGGTGCCAGCAGACAGGGGCTGAATGCGAGACACGGCCGCCTTCATGGAGGCTTTATCAAAGTAGGTCCGGAGGGGAAACTCTACCTTGACGGTGCTGGCATAATTCATGACTGCCACACGAGTTGTTCTTTCACCAACGTCCAGAGTATCGATCATTTCTGACAAAAAGATTTTCACTTTCTCAAACTCTTCAGGTCGGACGCTGCGGGAGCTGTCGATGATGAAGACGAGGTCGAGGGGACGGTTCTTGCAGGCAGTGTCTGCCAGGAGGGAAGGACAGCACTTCAATCTACCTGAGCCGGGTAGACCAGAGCTCCCAGCACAGCGACAGCTGCAGTGGCAATGTACTCATACCAAATGAATAAGGGCACCTTCATTACCAAGGCAGAGGCCTAAAGTTACAGTGAACAACACATTTGAAATTCTTAAATATTCATTTAATACAATTGAAAGCTTCTAAGCATTAAAAAAACACAGCTGAGCCCACAAAATGTCAATCTGTTATTGATACAAGCAGTTGCAGCCTATACAGAAGATTAGCAATGACATATAAATGCATTTATTTTTATAAAGCGTGAATTTTTAGAGCAATAGAAATAAAGTGGTTTAAAACATAGGACAGTCTACGTAGCAGACAGATTCTTATAGTATACTTGTTAGCAGTAGTAAAAATACAGCAGAGTAATGATTAGAAATTATTTCTTGTTTGTAATTCCCGAGGCAAAGTACACAACAAGAAGAAATTAAGAGGCAGATGATGCTGTTATAAATACTGTTGTTGCTACTTTAAAGATTCCATAGCAGAGAAAAGAGCAAAGTATTTTTACATGTAAAAATATACACACACATTTGTAGCTTCAACAATTCCTCACTGACATTGAAATCTGGACTGAGCAGAGACACCGCAGCTCAGAGCAAAGAAAGACAAGCAGCTCTGCTAGGAAAACTCAGAAAGAACCATCAGCAGCAGGAGGCAACCTCAGCTGTATGCTCTGAAACCCATCTTGAAACCCTGGCCTTGATGCAACCAGGGTTTGCCATCAGGGAATGGGTTTGTACTACTGGCTCAAGAAAAAGAGACAACCCAGAATCAAAGTATTCCTACAGAAGAGGCATAGAGGCATCTCTGCCCAACAGCTCGTTAGCCAGCAGAATGTTAAGTGTTCAAGCAGCCTGAGTACACTTAGAGTGTAATCTCACACACTTGTCCAGCTACTACCAAGCTGACTTCTATTATTTCATTATGGTTTAAAAATTGATCAATAAATCGCTGTCTTCAGAAGTCTTTTCAAAATAGAGGTGAAAATGTTTTTTTTTTCCAGTGCATGAAAAAACCTTTTCCTGTGCAAGTGAGACAGAAGGAAAAAATCAACTTGCACAGCCAGGAAACATCACTACAGTTGGATTTGCTTTGGGACAGAGAAGCAGTCAGCTGAACTGCAGATCCCATCCAGGCACATTATATATACTTCTACATGCATCCCACAGCTTGCTGTCTGCATTAGCATTCAAAAGCATGGCATTGTGACCCTCCTGAAGCTCAGAAAACGTAAGGTAATGTTAGTACATGCATGTGCCTCTGAAAATATCAAAGAAAGAGGCACACAGTGTTCATCCTACAAAGAAAAAGGCCAAATGTGAGATTTGCAGGTAAAATACTCATCTATTTCAGATGAGGGAACAAAACTTTTCAGCAGCCGACTCCTTCTGAGTCTGAAACAAGAGACGTTCTGAAAACTCAGTGGGTACAGATCAGGTTTTAGGGGGAAGGCAAGAGGAAAAGAAAAGGAAAGAGGGAAGGGGAAAAGAACAGGAAGAAGGGAAGGCGAAAAAGAAGAAGGGAAGGGGAAAGAAAAGGAAGAAGGGAAGGGGAAAAGGAATCGCATCATTGGAATGAATGGGACCCTTGGAGGTCATCTGGTCCAAGTAGTTGACACTCGTGTCTGCACGCACGGGGTCCTTGGACAGCTGCAGCTAAGATGTCCTCGGGACCCAACTTTCCAGCAGCCACTTACAGCAGCAAGCCCCAAGGGAAGCCAAGGCAGCGGAGGCCCGCAGAGGCCGCGCAGCGGCGAGCAAAGCACGCGGCGAGCGAAGCGCGCGGCGAGCGGCAGGCATCACCCCCAGGAGCGGCAGCCGGGCACAACGCAGCTGGAAGCGGGCAGCTCCGGGCGGCGGCGCGGCACAGCAGCACGGTACCTGCCGCTCCGTGCCTCCCCGGGCCGCTGCCCAGCGGCTGCCGGCGCAGGCGGTGCGGGACGCCGCGCGTCGCGGGCAGCAGCGGGAGGAGCAGCGCCAGGCAGCAGCCCAGCGTTCCGAGCGCCCGCCGCATGGTGCCGCCTGCCCGCCGCCGCGCCGCCGCGCCGCCTTTAAAGGCCGTGGCCGCTGCCCCCGCCCGCCCCGCAGCCTCGCAGGGAAGGGCTGCGGGGTGACACGGCTCTGCGCTCGGAGCGGAGGGGACGGGAGGATGAAGTCATCGTTCTCGCTGAAATGATTGGTATGGCTCCGTTTACTTTGCGCTTCGAGCTTCAAGCGAGCGTCTCCAAGGCAGCGTTTGCGAAGAATACGGGGAAAGGCTCACGGGCGACCTGCGAGGCGCACAAACCCGCCTTTGTTTTCAGTTCTAACCCCGGTTGCGCTGCCCGGTAGCCAATTTCGGGGCAAGTGGCGCAAGCCTTGGCCGAACACATGGCTTATGGCGCAGGACTGCTGCCATTCAGTGCCAACGGGCTGCTCGCTCCTGTGCACAGCCACGGGACACGTGCAGGGCTGCCAGAGCTCGTCTCCTTTGACCTCTGGAAGGGGAACAGTTACCTGTGATGAGGAACAGAACCACAGCCTCTCATCCACCTCACCAGCAATAGCCTTTGGCATTAATTAGCGTCACTTCAGCCACTTGCCTTTTTGACTTTGGAAGAGGCCACGATGACATCTACAGAGCCTACAGACAGCAGCACAGGAGCCACATCACCACCATTCAGAGAGCTGCAGACCCCAACCCCTGCAATTCCATGCGATTTAGTTAAAGACCACTTCAGTCACCTGAAAGGAGGCTGCAGCAAGGAGAGTATAAGGCCTCTTCTGCCTGATTACCAACAGTAGGACACTATCTCAAGTAACTCCATGGGAGGTTCAGATTGGATATTAGGAAGAATTTCTCCGTGGGTGGGGTGGTTACACATTGGAACAGGTTGCTGAATGGAGTCTGCACACCCAGAGGTATTTAAGAGATGTGGACATGGCACTAAGGGAAATGGTTTAGTGGTAGGACTGCACGTCAGGCTGATGGTTGGACTTGATGGCCGGACTTGACGGCCTTGAAGGTCTCTTTTAACTTAGGTGATCAATTCTTTCAGCTCTCCTCCAAAAACTTGTATTTTGGTGGTCTTCACTCCCTTTCTGGAGCTCAACCCACACAGCTCTCAAGAACTCAAAAACTGAGTGCACTTATGGGACACCAGTGTGCACAGGGTAACGTGAGAGGCAGGGTGCAGAAGGGCAGCACAGGACATCCATACACTATTGCAGCACAAGGTGCTCTCACGGATGGCATTTTAGGTAGAAGTTAAGCAGCCTACTGCTGAGTGGGAGCAACCGAAGGCATCTTAAACAGCAAAGCAATAGGAAGGAGGTACGTATTGCAGCTGACTGGAATAACCAACAGCCTGCCTGCCCCTTTTCCCTAGCTTAATTAGAGATCCCTTTTGTCTGCCATGGTAGGAAGCTATTTCCTTTTCAGATGTATTAAATCAGTAAAATGTATTTTATCTGTTACTGCAAAGGAGGAAGAATAGAAAGATCTCCATTTCTTCTGTTTAAAAGGAGAACATTACTGAATGTATGGCATACACCCAACAGCTTTGGACATCTTCCAGTGCAAGCACTGCTCTAATCCCACTGGGTGTCTGTCCTGCTCTTAACATCTGACCTTATCAAGCATCAAATCTGCCCAAAGGTCTGGAAGGTTTGAGTACAATTCCCTTTACTCAGCTTATATAAGTAGCAACCAGACAAACAGAAGGCAACTGAGCAGTTCAACTGCAACTAAGGCTGCGATATGAGCTTATATACTGAAGGGAATCCATGCTTTCTATACAAAAGACTTCTACTAGAGAACATGGATCAACCACTGAACAACACCATTCTAAGTCAGTGCCATATAGACACAGCTTAGTGAACCCTGCCTGCAGGGCACTGAAGTACTTCAAAATTTAAAAAAAAAAAAAAGAGGCAGACAATCCAGGCTACTGGTAAACATTTCATAAAAGATTTATTTAAGTATCATTTATCACAAAGATGAAAATACGTATAAGATTAGGAGCATGCAACCATCATCTACATGTCTATTTATTCCCTTGCATTGACAGCACATTGTAATACAAGTTCTGTGCCAACCTCGCTTCTTCCTGAAAATACTATGTTTCAGGACATAGGATAAAACAAAAAACCCACAGTAAGGTAACATATGAGAAAAGTGCAAAGTAAAAAAAAAAATTCATGTATATACCACATTCAAACCCCTCCCCCTCCAAAAACCAAATAAAGGCAAACTGTCATCTTGCTGCACAGATTGTCTTTATGATCTACTTTACAAAAAATGAATATAAATTAAGGGCACAGTCCTGCAGACACTTATGTTTGTAGCTAACTTGAATCACAGATGGGCTCAGTTGGTATTAGGAAAAGCCACTGGTTAGTCACACACACAAGTTCCTGCAGTAAAAGGCCCTAAGGCAATAAAATGTTTAAAAGCATTAAGGAGAACAAAAATTAAAGCAAACAAAATCACTCCCAGATGAGTTTTGCTTAGTAAGTTTCTATCAAACATTTTTTAACAGTTTGCTCCTAAAGTCCTGAATATTTCTATTACTTAAGCAGTTCTGCAAGATTGAAAGACAAAACCCCCAAGGAGCTGGTACAGGTGTGAATGACCATACAGGGTGCTTCAGGCAGGTATGTAGGGAGGTGGAGGCTCCTTCTCAGGCATCTTCACTGCCATTTCGTAAGTTGGCAGAACGTACTAAAGAGAAAACATTTTGAAGAGATTACTGCAGAAGGCTGAGGGTACAAAAAGCCCAGAGTGAAAATATCTACACATGCCCCACTACAATTTATTTCTCTGTTACAGGCTAATGTAGGAACCTAGTGATGCTTCCAATGAGCTAGTGACAAAGTGAAAGATGGCGCACAAGTAGTTCACTGCTGCACTGAACCTGATCCTAGGCCATTAGTTCCACCCCACTGCCTCTTGGTTTTGCAAGCAGCAGGGAAGGCTTTGATAGGTGCAATCAGAAAGCTTCCCTCAATTACAAGAAAATCCATCAGATTTCTCCTTGTAAAACCCTCCTGTTTATGTGCTGTGAGAATGCAATGCCAATCTACCTTAAACAAGTTAAAGCAGCTGATGTTAATCCTCCCATTCTTTGTTCAGAAATCTGGACAAGTCATGTAAACATGGATGCTGTGCTTTTCTATTCCAAAGTTAATTTCTGATTCCCTTCACAAAGAGGCTTTACCTGTGGAGGTGCTTCAAAAGCAGGGTACACTGCTATCTCTGGCAAATTTCTGTTGCTGATGTATTTATAGCAGTTCCATACACAGTTGATAAGATACGCCTGAAAGAGGAAAGATTTCTCTTTTTAAAGACCTCATATATATTAGCTGATTCAGAAACTAGATGCTAGATAACTTTTGTATGACAAAAAGGAGCTTATCTTAATGTTAATTGACATATAGATACAGACATGAGGGATGCTGCTTATTAACAGGTTTAGTCCTGTTTAGCCTTGCTACCACAATGACTAGGACAGGATGAACCCCACAGATCTTGGCAAGGAATTCACAATCTAGCCAATTCATCTGTGTGCCTCAGAACTGCTAGTCAAATTGATCCCTAGCTGGCTTATGCTTCTGTGTATCTCAGTCCAAACTTGCTTGCAGGAGGAGGACAGGCCAACAGCACAATCCCACTTACCCAAATTCATGTTATTATTTGTCTAACCACATGCAGAAGAGAGAACGAACACACAGCCTGAGGCACCAGGGAAAGGACAGCACAGCAGAGCAGTCTGATGTTAAGCTAACATCAGCTGCTGCAGGAAGACATACATCATGCTCTGATGACTGTACTTCATTTTTTTAATTAATATTTATACTCCTTGCAGCCTGGTTTATTAAGATTTTCAAAGTTTTATCTAAGTAACTTGCATGCAACAATTCAATATTATTTCATAAGCATATCTATAAATATTATTTCCACATATGCAAAAAAAAAAAAAAGGTATCTGGAATCCTTGTGCATTCCTGCTCCCTACTAAGGTGCAAACATGCCCCACTGCAGGCAGCACACAAACTCATGGGAGACAACAGTACACCACATGTATGATTGAAGTTGTGTTGTAACTAAACATCCTAACAGGTCAGCAATTGCACTTCAAGTTAATTCAGTACATCTGTATATATTGATAGCATGTAAACAGAGAAACTCATTAAATGGTCACAAGCTTAAAATTGTAACTTACCTTTAAAATGATAAATAAAGCAAAGAACACCAGAACAATAAACAGAAGACAGCTGGAATCCAGTGAAAGAAGATCATCTTTGTAAGGGAAATCCGGCTAGTTAAAAAAAAAATAGGGGGGTAGAGAGAAATGGAGGAGATGAGCACAAACAACGCACAAATATCAGACACCCACACTTCATACCATGTCCTTCCTAAACTATCCTCTCAGAAACAATGAGAAATTTACTCTCTCCTTTGCTCCTCCCACAGAACAGAACTTTCATCCTGCTTCTGTCCAGCTAGAATGGGTCAGTGCAAAAGAGAGCTACCTCTAAGGAAGCAGTGTACTTTTAAGTCACTTTCTCTATCTTGTCCATGAAAATTCTTTCTGAGCAACTGCAGCACAGCATTCGTACAGCTCCTTTACTTGAGAGGCCTTTATTGACTGAGTACTAATAACCTCTTATCAGTCCAACCAGTTATGTTATGTTTGCAAAGCAGAAAGCAAGAAGAGTTGACTCCAAACTTAGAAGGAGCCAAAACACACCAAGGAGCTCCTGCAAATTTCAGTCTCTTCTCCCCTGACCACACTAACAAGGCTTCTCCTCAGTACTCATTTTTGTTTTGAGAAGACTTTTTAAACATCTGCTTCCACAGATCTAAACACCAGCCAGAAATAGCTTGTGATCCAAGTCAATTGCTGGTATATCCTACCCACTGCATCTTTTCACAGTTAAACATAGGCAGCATTAATGAACGTTCTGCTGCTGTTTCCTCAAAGTCTTGCTGCAAAATGAGAACAACAATACAGGATGCAAAAAAAAAAAAAAAAAGAACCCTCAGAAC